ATAAGGTTCGGGTAAAGTTGTAGAGGATACGAGGAGGCAAGTCTCAAGAGATGGAAGGACAATGAGGGTCTTAAAGGAAAGAAAACCAGTGTGCAGAATGTGATGACATGACTTTATATATATATTAATATGAAATTTCTACCTTGATATTATTAATATTGGATGAATTTTATGAGATTTTACATGGTTTCATTTTTTGTACAGAAAAAGACTTGAATGTATAAAAATAAGAGTTTTTTAAATTAATTGAATATCTTTTGAAAGTTGAGGAACTAAATTGCAAGAAGAAGGACGCCTCTTTGGGACCTAAATGAATGAATCTTCAGTTTTGGGATCTAAGTGCTCATCATACAAAATCTGGAGGATCAGATCTGCTATTTTACCATTGAAGAAATTGCAAAAAAGACAGAAACTCGACATGGGTGTAGTGTCGACACATAATCGGAGTGTCAATACCATGCGTTAAGCATTCAGAGTCAGACTTTTTGTTTCCTGTTTTGTGTCGACACGTAATTCGGGGTGTAGCACCATGTGTTTAGCGTCCAAAATTCAAGTTTCCTATTTTGGTTCAAATCCCACTTCTATTCCAATTAGGGTTTTTAAAATCCTATAAATACCCATCCAAATTCAAAATGGAGAAAGTTTTGGGAGGTTGGTGGCAACCCTTTTTTGGGCATTATTGGAGATCAAGATAGATGTTTTATCAACAATAGAAGATCAAGGAGTTTAATTCCCTCAAATTGGGTTTTGTTTTTCCTTAGATTCTTTTTATCTATTGTTTGATATTCGAATGTTCATAATTATGATTTCAAGTTTTATTATTTTTATTATGAATTGATTTAATCAACTATGGCTAAGATGTAACCTAATCAATTTAATATACGCTTTTATGATTTTTACACTTTTGAAATTGCTATTCCATGATGAGTATATATTATTGTTCTTAATGCTTTTTAATGCTTTATCACCATTAAAACTAATTTGGAGAGCATAATTGAGACCGAGAGGAGATTTTATGCAATAACTTCTAGTAATATATACCATGAATTGAACGAAAGCCAAAGATAGACCAACATGATTCGTGCAGCATTAGTGATAAGTGGACTTAATTTTCTACCTAAAGTAGGAAATTTCGTAGAACATAATGCATCTTTATCTATTTAAATTCACATAGAGATATAGTGGGTTAATAAATTAAGATAGGTTTGATATAACTTGAGAAAGTATATCAAATGGGATAGGAAATCCCATTGTCACATGAATAGTAACATCTTGAAAGTAAAATAATAAAAAATTTATGTTAATTGATTACGGTGTAGTCGATGTCTTAGTACCTCATATCTCATATCTTAGTTAGTACCTCATATCTTAGTTAGTACCTCATATCTTAGTTAGTACCTCATATCTTGGTTAGTTTTATTTTAATTGTTATTTGTTTCTTATCATTTTGAATTAAAACTTCTTTCTTTCGAGTGTTCAAATAAATTTAGGGTGATTATTTTGATACTTAATTAATCACAATCTTTGTGGGTTCGACACTCTACTTATCATTATATTACTTGGAGCGACTAGTACACTTGCTAGAGTGATGTGATGTTAATGCATTAGAATGGATAGAGTTGTTCAACCAGGTCAATCATATACGCAGGCAGTGGTGGGGATTCATCCACAGATTAGGGAGTTCCCTAATAGTGAAAGGTCATTGCGTGACAAGGAAGTGCAATTTGTGGAGAAGGAGGCGGTTGTCATTTGTTTCTTATCATTTTGAATTAAAACTTCTTTCTTTTCGATTGTTCAAATAAATTTAGATTAATTATTTTGATACTTAATCAATCACAATCTTTGTGGGTTTGACACTCTACTTATCATTATATTACTTGGAGCGATTAGTACACTTGCTAAAGTGATGTGATGTTAACGCATTAGAATGGATAGAGTTGTTCAACCAAGTCAATCATATACGTAGGTAGTGGTGGTGATTTGTTCATAGATTAGGGAGTTTCCTAGTAGTGAAAGGTCATTACGTGAGAAAGAAGTGCAATTTGTGGAGAAGGAGGTAGTTGGATCTTGCGTTAAGGATGTTGTAGGTAACAGGTTGGTGGAGGATATAACTGAACAGTCTAACAAGGAGGTTATTGAGTTTGTACCAATGAAGGAGGAGACCAAATCGCTTGAAGGAAGTATGATTGCTATAGTAAAATTGGTAACATCGATATCTAGTATTCAGGAAAGAGTAGATGTGGATGGGGGGGGTGATTACCTTATCGCCATTGGGAGGAAGAAAGGTGTTATTAACTGAATGGGTTGCAGGTTACTTGATTAATTACATAAGCAAAATAAAGATGTGATTGATTTATGGTTTGAGTCAGTACAACCATGGACATTGGCAAATCAAGTAAGCAATAGATTGGTGTGGTTACATATATCTGGGATCCCGCTAAAAGTTTGGTGTGATAGATGCTTTCAAAGGATAGGCGAGTTGGTGGGAAAAGTGGTTCGGATTCATGAAGATATAAAAAATAAAACGATTTTGTGTGATGGAAGGGTGTTAATCTTGTGTTTTGAAATGAGTAAAATTATCTGAACTGTAAAATTGAAAGTTGAGGAGCAGATGTATAAAGTTGGGGTGGTAGAGGAAGAATGGCGTTCTGATCCCGATTGTTTGTTGTTGGACAGTCATAGGTAAAGTGAATCGGAAACTGAATTGGAGTAGTCATTGCTACATAACAGTAACGAGCATGATGACTTGATTTTTGTCGAAAATAGTGGGGAGAATGAGGATAATTTTGATGTGGAGTTGCTAGAGAAGGAAGGAGATTTGAATTCAAACAAGACTGTGTAATAGACAACAGTGATAGCATGTCTTCTGAAACGAAGGATGTAGGAGATGAGTATAGTGGGCCTAATAAAAGTAATGGGCTGGTAAGGGATATGCGGGTTGGGCCTGATGAGGTCTATGGGCCTAATGAGGTCTATGGGCCTGATGCAAAGGTATCTCAAAGGAGGGCCAGTGTTGATAATGAAATACAATCTGGAGCAGATAAAGAACATGTTTTAACCCCTATTCAAAATCAGAAAAATAGGGGAGTGACGAGAAGGAGGCGGAAGCAGATTGTGGAGTGCTACCCACAAAATTTGGTAGAAATTGGAGACAAGTGCAGTCAATGGGTCACGGCAAGGTCTAAGCAGGGACAAAGATGGAAGCAGGCTCAACAGGACGTAGTTGTGAAGGTATGTGAAAGTATTTTTGTTTCGGATGGGTGCATAGCTCATAGAACTCGGGTGATCCAATAGCAAATGAATTTACTAGAGGTGGGAAGGATGATTAGTGTGGGAAAAAGGTTGAGGATTCAGATCCAAGGGAATGAAGAGAAGGTTTAGTCTAGATTATTGCAAGTTGAAGAATGGGAGAAAGTGACAGGGTAGTGTAGGAAAGATGCTTGAAGGGTGTTAGGATTGTGTGGGTTCATGCGCTTTCTTTTCAAATATGAAGTTTTCATCCTTTAATGTTAGGGGATTGGGGGGGATTGGTGAAAAGGAAGGAGGTAAGGAGAGTAGTAAGAAAAGAGAGGATAGATTTTTTGTTTTTGTAGGAGACTAAATTGTAGGAGGTGGATGGACTTTGTGTAGGGGGTTGTGGTATTTAGATGGTTGTGATTGGGTTATGAAGAAGTCATTGGGTGCTTCAGGGGGTTTACTTTGTGTATGGAATAATGTTAACTTTATTAAGCTAAGGGAGTTTATTGGGGATAGTTTTCTGGGTATTGAAGGGGTTTGGAGATTGAAGAAGGTTTTATGCCACTTAGTGAATGTGTATGCTCCGTAGGATAGGCATAAAAAGGTGATGTTATGGGAGTAGTTGGGAAATATGGTTATGGAAAAGGGAGGTTGTTGGTTGATAGTAGGTGATTTTAATGCAGTTAGGTGTCCAGAAGAATGGAGGAGAAGAACAGGAGAATGCCTAGAGATGGAAGAGTTTAATGCTTTTATTGAGACAACAAGACTAGTTGATATCAGATTGGTTAATAGACGATTTACATGGTACTAATTGGATGGATCTTCTCTGAGTCGATTGGATAGATTTTTGATGACGGAGGAGATGTATGGTATGGGGCACGAGTGGGTGCAATAGGGAATGAAAAGAACTGTATCATATCACTATGTTGTTGTCTTGAAAACAAGTAGTGTAGATTTGGGTCCAAAGCCGTTTCGAGTATTAGATGCATGGCAGCAGCTTCTAGATTTTAGAAGAGCCGTGGAAGGCAGATGGAGAGAGTTGGAGGTTGAAGGATATGTAGGTCATCAATGCAAACAAAAGTTAAAGTTGTTGAACGAATTTTTAAAGGGTTGGAACAGGGATGTGTTTGGGGATATGGAGGCTCAACTTGAAAAGACAGCTGAAATGGTAGAAAGGATTGACAAGAAGAATAAAGATTTTGATCTGGAAGAGTTCGAATTGAGTCAAAGACAAAGAGTCCAAGAAATGTGGTCTATTTTGAGGAAAAATGAGGCTATATGGAGGCAAAAATTGAGAAGTAATTGGGTGCAATTGGGAGATCTAAACACCAAATTTTTCCAGAACATTGCTAATGGTAGGAAGGCTTAGAATAATATATTGGGGCTCTCCCTATGGATCTCGTTGAATTTCATTATGAAGAGGAAGTTAATTTTGAAGAAGATCTTTTATTTGTTGGTCCAGTTTCTATTGATTTTGAAGGATTGAAACACGATAATTTCTTGCTAATTCTCTATGGGGTAAGTGGGTGGAGGAGCCTAAATTGGTTAAGAGGGAGGTCGTCAAATATTTTTCTGTTTTGTTTTAAGGTGAATTATGGAACAAACCTAAGCCTACTGGTATAAGCATTTGAAAGATTTCTAAGGAGAAAAAAGAGTGGTTAGAAAGATCATTTTCAACTGAAGAGATTAAAGAAGGGTTACGATGTTGTGAGGGGACTAAAGCACTTGGCCCAGATGGTTATAATTTCAAGTTCCTCAAATTTGCATGGAGTATTTTAAACGAGGACCTTGTGAAATTCTGTAAAGAGTTTCATCAGAATGGTAGGTTAGTAAGAGGTTTAAATTCTTCCTTTTTGACTCTGATCCTTAAAAAGCATAATCCTATGGAATTGAAGGATTATCATCCTGTTAGTCTAATTGGGTGTGTATATAAGTTATTGGCAAAGGTGTTAGCTAATAGACTCAAGTCTGTGATGTCAAAGATAATTAACAAAGCTCAATCTGCTTTTTTGGACGGTTGTTAATTGGTGGATAGTGTTTTAGCTTTAAATGAAGTTGTGGATGAAGTCAAGAAGAGCAAACAACAGGCTTTTGTTTTCAAAGCAGGTTTCGCAAAAGTGTATGATTGTGCTGATTGGTCATTTTTAGATTTGATGATGGAAAGGTTTGGCTTTGGATCTAGGTGGAGAGGATGGATTAAGGAGTGCTTATCAACAACAAAGGTTTCGGTTTTAGTCAATGGCAATTCCACTAAGGAGTTTGAGATTGGAAAAGGGTTAAGGTAGGGTAACCCTTTGTTTACATTTCTATTTTTGATGGTTGGTGAGGGTTTACATGGGTTACTTAAAAAAGCAAAGTTGGAAGGTTGTTTAGGGGTGTTGAAATTGGGAAGAGGGATCTGGTTGTATCTTTGCTACCATTTACCGATGATACAGTAATTTTGGGTAAAGCTGATGGGGAGAATGTTTTTATGGTAAAAATCATGTTACGATAGTTTGAGTTGATGTCGAGATTGCAAATTAATTTTAGTAAAAGTAGTGTCTATGGTTTTAATGTATCGACAAGGTGGTTAAATGGGGTGGCTTGTTCTCTGTGGTGTGGTGTTGGAAAAACACCTTTTTTGTACTTAGGCTTGCTTGTTGGTGGTAAATTTGGAAGTAAGAAATTGTGGGAATCAGTGGTTAGTAAGTTTCATGCCAGACTTGTCGTTTGGAAGTCTACTTTGTTGTCTTTTGGTGGCTGCATCACCTTGCTCAATTTGTTACTTTTTGCTTTACTCATTTTTTACATGTCTTTATTTTATTTCATGTGGTTTCTGAGTTGGTAAAATTCAAAGGGGGGTTTTTGTGGGGTGGGGTTGCGTTGAATAGGAAAACTTCATGGGTTAAATGAGATTATGTTTGTGGTTGTAAGGTGAAGGGAGGTCTAGGAGTGCTAGATTTAAGAAGGAGAAATTGGGCATTATTAGGGAAGTGGTGCTCTCGATTTGGTGATGGTGTGGAGAGTTTATTGAAGTGGGTAGTAAGGGAAAAATATTATGAGGGTCAGTGTGAGGTGGATATAACATCAATTGCACATTTAAAAGTATCAAAGATGTGGAAGGATATTATTAGTATAGGTGGGAGATTGGTTAGGTTGAGGGATATGTTGGTGAATGAGTTTAGATGGGAGGTGGGGTGTGGTGGTAGGGTGGGAGTCTTGAGGGAGAATTGGGTGGGTAGTAAACCTTTAAGGGATTTATGTCCTACACTATATGGATTAGCTATGAATAAGGAAGGCTTGGTTAGTGAGATGGGGCAATGGGAAAGTGATAGGTGGCGATGGAATATGGCATGGAAAAGGGAGAGAAAGGGGCGAGAAAAGATGAGGAGAAGGTCTTGTGGGGGGTACTGGATAGTATACACTTAAAGAAAGGTATGGGGGATTGTTGGATTTGGGCATATGATCTGGGAGGTAAGTATATGGTTAGGACAGCTTATGAGTTTTTAGCTTCTAAGGAGTGTATTCTTGATACTTAGATTTGTAAGCTCATTTGGTGTAGGCTAGTGCCTTCAAAAGTGGGTTTTTTTGGGTGGAGGCTGTCTTGATGCTGCTATCAAAATGAAATTTACAAAAAAGGGGTGTGTTGTTGTAGTAGGAGGGATTATTTTGTGGTTTGTGTCATGAGGTGGTGGAGGAGATTAATCATTTATTTTGCACATGTAAGGAATCTTGGTTAGTTTGGGCTAAGGTGCTAAATTGGTGGGGCATAAAAGCTGTCATGTTGAATACAGTTAAGGGAGTGACAGAATTTTTCTTGCATGATTTTGGTCAAATTATAAGGAAAGAGATGGGTGCATGTGTTTTTCTTGTTGTTGCATGGTATTTATGGTCTTGGCAGAATGCTTGTGTATGTAAGGACTATGGGAGTATGAGGGAGCGTAGGTTGGATAAGGTACAAATGAAGTCTTTTTTTTGGATTAAAAATAAGGTGGATGGATGTCCTTTTTCATTTTATGAGTGGAAAGTGAACCCCGTTGATTGTGCTTTATCTATAATTAAAAAAAAAAACAATTCATGAGGGACATTAACAAGGGCATGAGCAAGTTGACCAACAACACGAAATGCCTAGACTTGCACTTCCTCACTTTCCCTCAACACATTCTTGTTCTTGACATCGCTCCACCCCTTTTTGTTGAATACATACATACATATAGCTAGTCCTCCTCCTCGTCTTCTCCATTTTCCATCTCTTAAGAACCACGGTGAAGCAATCTTGTGAGGGTTTGATAAGCTACACCATCATTCTCACTTCGCTGTTGATAATGGCTTCTTCAAAGGGTTTTAAGAACTTTAAAAAAATCTTTTGTCGCTTGTTTCACTGACATCAACATTTGGTTTTGAGCCTTTTTCAAGTCAATTGCTATTAACCTCTTCTTAATTAACAATATCGACCCCTCTACCGTTCCCTAGTGTATTATAACCTCCCTAAATTCTTTTGGGTATAGTGGTGAAGTTCCTTACGGCGGTGGAATTGCATGAATTGGAAGTATTGCTTTCTTTTTTGATTTGTTTGAATAAGAAGGAAGATGGGAAAGAGACTGTTGTTGTTATTATTGTTATTGTTGTTATTATTGTTGTTATGATGGTGTTGTTGGTGTGGTGTTGTTGGTGTGATGTTGTTGTTGTTATTGTTGTTGTTATTGTTGTTGTTATTGTTGTTATTATTGTTGTTATTATTGTTATTGTGATAGTACCATTTTTCATTGATATTAGTCCTCCTTGTTGTCTTTTCCGTTTTCCATCTCTTAAAAACCACAGTGAAGAGATCCCATGACAATTCAATTAGCAGCACCGTCATTCTTGCTTTGCTATTAACAGTGGCTTTTTTAGAGAGTTTCGAGAACTTGAAAAAATTTTTAGTCGCTTGTTTTATTGACATTGATATCCAATTTTGAGCCTTAATTTTTCAAGTCAATTGTCATTAACCTCTTCTAAATCAACAATATCAGCCCCTTCGTTGTGCGTATTATAACCTCCCTAAAATCCTCCAAGAGGGGCACTAGTGTTCCTTACGGTGGTGGAATCGCATGAACTAAAAGCGTCACTTTCCTTTTTTACTTGTTTGGATGCCAAGGAAGAGGAGAAATACACTATTGTTGTTGTTGTGATGGTGGTGCTTCTCACTATTGTTCTTCATCTTTGAGCAATTGAGAAAATAAATCTATGACAAACACAAAAGCACCAAAACAAGAAGAGATTTTGAAGTTAGTGATGGCTATAGTGATGGCTCTTGCTTTCAACTCTTGTGATTGTGCATGATGCCGAAGTTTCTTATTTTTCATGGTATTGGAGAAATTAACTAGGGTATTATGAATGTATGTAGGGTTTTTTTCTTTCCTTAAAACTTGAGAAGTTGTAAAGTTTTAATTTATAGGTGAGCGATTCTTGTTAAGAAAGGAATAAGAATTAGAGAAATGGAAAGAATTGGAGGTGAATTTAAGTTTTATCATGCTTCTAATTTTGTTATTAGTTTTTTATGAGTTATTTAATCACATACTATTACTAAGTAAAATTAATTAAGTTATTATTATTAACTAATAATGCATGATTTATTAAAGATATAATTATAATAATATAAATAATAAGTGTGTTTGTGTTTAAATATACCTAATATTCCTTATTTATAGTTTTGAAAGAAACATAGTTCAATTAAATATATAAGTTTTCTTGAAGTATTAATACTAAATAAGACAAATAATGGATTAAAATCCCAACAAACTCTAATTCTCGATTTATTAGGAAAAAATGTTGGATTGTATGAATTAATTATGTGAAATAGAAAGTCTACTTGCAACATACATAAGAATGAATTTAAATTTTATTACTTTTTTTTTTGTCTCAAATTAAATGTGATTTTTTTTTTCTTTTTACTTCTTTCCATTGATTATGAATTTGTTGAGAATTTATATTTTTATTTATATTACCCTTAAGAAAAAATAAAAAAGTTACTTGAATGATACAAAATTGTACAAAAAGATTGTTTATGAATTATTTTCCACATACATAAGGGACATATATATCGTTGCACACTTGCACCATTTCTCATGATAGAATGTAGAAAAAAAGACAATGAGATATATCAACTAAAATTTTTTGCTCTTCCATTTCAACATGGTGTCATCTATATAAGCCATTCACTATGCATGATATTCTTGCATCCCTAAGAGTACAAAAATCTAAACAAAAGAGCAAATTATGGTGTCCTCTTTCTCTCACTTCTTGTTTTTTACTGTCTTACTAGTTTTTCCCTCTCAACCATATTTCCAACATCCATTGTGTCGAAGAGATGAGCACCTTGCCTTGCTACAATTCAAGGAAAGCTTTGTAATTGATAAGCATGCTTCTTCTGATGATCCATTCACTTGTCCTAAAGTCAATATCTGGAAATCCCAAGGGATGGATTACTGCTTTTGGGAAGGTATATGGTGTGATTAGGACACTGGTCATGTTATAGGCCTTAATCTTAGTAGTAGTTGTCTCTTAGGTTCCATCAATTTCAATAGTAGTCTCTTCCACCTCCAACATCTTAATCTTGCCTTCAATGGCTTCAATTATTCTAAGATTCCACCTGCTTTTGCAAATCTTATTAGTTTGACTTATCTCAACCTCTCTTTCTTTCCTAGATAGATACCATTTGAACTGTCAATACCTACTAGCTTATCCACCCTTGGTCTAGCTCTCAATTGTGATCGTTTCTCTTCAAAAAAAGGATGGTTAAAAGTTAGAACTGAAAAGGCCAAACTTGAGAGGCCCAGTAGAAAATTTGACAAGCGTGGAATACCTTTGCCTCACTAGCACCAAAATAAATTTTAGAATTCCTAGTACCTTAGCAAATATGTCCTCCTTAAGGTCCATCATTCTTGGCAATTGTGGATTGTTCAAAGAGTTCCTAATGGCAATTTGCCAACTACCAAAACTTCAAGCCCTTGTTGTGGGTGACAACCTAGGTCTTATGGGTAATTTGCCTAAGTTTCAGTTTCACAACTAGCTTATGATTCTTGCAATTCACTATACCAATTTTTCTGGTAAATTACCAACCTCAATTGGAATGCTCAACTCTCTGGAGTATTTGTCTATTGGCAATTAAAACTTCTCAAGCTTATTACCACCTTCTCTGGGTAATCTTACCAAGCTCCAAACCTTGACACTTGATAATAATAGCTTCATTCGTACAGTTCAGATTGACACATTTCTTGAGCTCAAATACTTGAAAGATTTGTTGTTATCCCAAAACAATTTTCCATTGCTAATCAAAACTAGAAAAAGAGTAGCAACACCATTTTTGCAAAGCTGGAAACTTTAGGACTTGGTAACTGTAATTTAAAAGAGTTTCCAAGCTTCTTGCATGACTTGGACCAACTAGAAATCCTCAAACTTTCTTCCAATGACGTTAGTGGCAAGATACCAAAATGGATATGGAAATTCAGTAAAAGTTTGTCAATTTTGGACCTTTCCCATAACCCATTGATAAACTTTGAAAAATTTTCAACTTCCTTTCCTTCATCTACTCTAGACTCTTTAGACCTTAGTTTTAACCAGCTTAAAACTTCACTACTAATCCCTTCATTGTCCATTAATTTCTTTTTAGTTTCTGAAAATAAATTAATGGAAACATCCCATTTGAATTTGACAACCTAACTTCTCTCCAAGTTCTAGATTTGTCTCATAATATCCTAAATGGAATGATCCCACAATGTATTGACAACTTTAGTAAGTCCTCAGTGATTTTGAATTTGCAAGGAAACAACTTCAAAGGTCTAATTCCTCCATCTTGGCTAGCTGGAAACAATTTAAAGGTGATTCAACTTGGATAGAACTATTTGAACGGAAGGGTACCAAGATCATTGGCAAATTGTAGAATGCCAGAGTTTCTTGATCTTGGAAACAATCATATTAGATATATCTTCCTTCATTAGTTGGGAACTCTTCCCAGATTGAAGATTCTCATTTTGCATTTCAACGAATTCTATGGTGCAAATAATGTTCCAGGATCAATTCCTTATTTCCTAATCTTCAGATCATTGACCTTTCCCATAATAGATTTGTTGGTCTTCCACCAACAAAATACTTCAACGTGTAGAGTTCCATGGTAGATATTGATAAAGAGAACACGAAATACTGGCTTGCATATGACAATTATGAGTTGAATGGCTTCATGGATGCCAATCCATTCCTTTATTCAGTGACGCTAACAAACAAAAGGAGTGAAGACGAAATGTGAAAAGGTATTAGATATTGTCTCAGGATCTTGCAACAAATTTAAGGGAGAGATTCCACATGTAGTAAAGGAGCTTAAAGGGACTTCAATTGCTTAACCTTTCCAATAACATCCTCATCCTCGAGAAATCTCAAAAATCTTGAAGCTTTATACCTTTCTCAAAACAAGCTCACAGGAATCATTCCCACGCAGCTAACGTAACTCAATTTCCTTGAAGTCTTCAATATCTTGCACAACCATTTGACGGGACCTATTCTGAAGGGGTAGCAATTTAATACATTTGATAATAGTTCATTTGATGGGAATTTAGGGTTGTGTGGATTGCCACTGTCAAGGAAATGTGACAACTCGAAGGCCTCGCC